TTTAAGTTACAAAGAATCCTTGGAGTCTTTTCCTGAGTATCTGTAAGAAGTATATATTTAGGGGGGCTGGTGTTTTTGTGCAGCAGGTGAAAGCCCTAGCTTGCAGTGCTGGCATCTCATATAGGGCCTGATTGGAAACCCACTGCTCCACTTCTGAACCTTGTTTCTGCTATGGCCTGGGAAAAGAGTGGAAGATGGCCCAAGTCCGTGGGCCCCTGCAGTTGCATGGAAGACGCAGAAGAAGTTCCTGGTTCCTGGATTTGGATAGCTCAGCTCTGGTTGTTGTGGCATTTGGGAAATGAACTAGCAGGTGGAAGACCTCTCTCTCTTGCTCTACCTCTCTCTATAACTCTGTCTTTCAAATAGTTAAAATAAAAAAAAGCACAAGAAATATGTGAGGTTTTTAGAACCATATTTTAATTATGACATTTAAAAATAATGATAAATTTAAATACAATTCCCAAGAATTCTTTCCACATTTGAATTTCTCCACTTATACTATGTTTCTTTATGTTGTATATATGTCAAACATTAATGACTTGATTATTATGTGGGTATCTCATGTGGTTAGACAAGTTCTGATGTATCCCCTCCATGTCCCAGGAGGCTGATTTTCCAGCCGATACATGGATCATCTTCATTGCTTCCTAATGGAGACATGCATTGGTATCTGGGAATCTAGCCTCATCTGCCCATGATGTCAGCAGGTCAGGACCATGGGAAATCTCTGGCCTCCTTCTCAGCATGTGCCATTCCAACCACTCCCACCATCTTCACAGAATTCCTGACCCTGGGGTTTTCCTCATATGCTCAAGAGCTGTGTGGTTGGTTTCTGTGTCTGTGGATGTTAGTGTGAGGATGAAAGGAACCTTGGAGAGCAGGACAGGTGTCTGCTCTTGGTGGCATAGGTGACAGTCATAGATCTGAGGTGTTAAGTTATGTCATTCAGGTGCACCCTGTAGATCTTGGCTGGCCCAGGAAGGGACACCAATGCCACATCCTCAGTTCTGGAGCTGGAGAAAGGGTGAATAAGGTTGAGACTTTAGATATTTTTGTCAAAAATTGGTGCACTGAAAGAAGACCAATGTGTCTCCAGGTGTACAGAAGGCAGCTCCAAAAGTTCTGTAGAGTCTGTCTCATCCAGGGCCGGTGCTGTGGTGCACTAGCTTAATCCTCTGTCTACAGTGCCGGCATCCCATATCGGTGCCAGTTCTAGTCCCGGCTGCTCCTTTTCACATCCAGCTCTCTGTTGTGGCCTGGGAAAGCAGGAGACAATGGCCCAGGTGCTTGGGCCCCTGTACCCATGTGGGAGCCCAGGAAGAATCACCTGGCTCCTGGCTTCAGATCAGCACAGCTCTGTCCATTGTGACCATTTTGAGTGTGAACCAACAAAAGGAAGACCTTTCTCTCTGCCTCTCTCTCACTGTCTGTAATTCAACCTGTCAAAAAAGAAAATTAAAAAAAATAAAGTCTGTTTCATCTAAGATGGCAGTGGGATGGAGCTGGATGTTCAGGCCATTTGGATGAAATGTGTGTGGGTGAATGTTGATTGCACCTCTGTCACTGTTTAGCTGTCTGTAAGATGAGTACATTAACACTGCTAGTGAAATGTCCCTGCATTTCCTGAGAAATCCTTGTGAGGTGTGTGCAGGCTGACTTACACTATGTGGCAGTTGCATTTTTGGGGTTTCATGGTATGTCTTCTTATAGGAAAATGTCTGTTTTCCTGCATTGTGTAGCCTGCCTTGCACTAGTCTTTCAAGGTTACAGAACTTTATACAAGACCTAATTTGCAAAAATGTGGAAGTTTGGATACTCTGTGACAATCCCATTTGCAGAGAGAAAGAGAGAGAGAGTTGTCTTCCATTTGCTGATTTACTCTCCAACTGGCCATGATGGCCAGAGTTATGCCAATCCAAGCCAGTAGCCAGGAGCTTCTTCCAGGTCTCTGACATGGGTGCAGAGGCCCAAGGACTTGGGCTATCTTCTATTGCTTTCCCAGGCCATAGCAGAGAGCTGGATCTGAAGTATAGCATCTGGGATTTGAACTGACACCCATATGGGATACAGGCAGCAGTTTTACCTGCTAAGCCACAGTGCCAGTCCCCAAAATAACTTTCATTAGTGTAAATTTCACTGAACATAATTTATTTCAACAATAACAAAGTTTTACTGTTTTTTTTTTGTTACATTATCATTTAATAAAATTTTGGCAATGCTTTCATTAAACCAAGGATAACTTCTGGTTAATCTCTGCCACTTAATAGAGGTGGGAGCACTGGCCTATATATTTCCATGTTTAAACGCTTACTCCTCCATGGTGAAGTTGACATTTTCTCTATTTATGTATTCATGATTCTTTATTCATTCTAGCACTCCTTTTTCTACAGTGCAATGTAGAAGGAAAGCCAAGAAATTTTCTTTTAAATATTTGCATTCATGTTTTCTTCCAGATTCAGGGCACCTCCAGATATTTCAAAGAAAATTAATACATCAGCTGCTAATTGTGTACTTTTTAAAACATATTTATTTTATACATTTGAAAGACGGAGTCACAGAGAGTGCTAGGAAAAGAGAGCGAGAGCGAGAGAGTCTTCCATGTGCTGGTTCATTCCCCAAAAGGCCACAATGGTCAGAGCTGAGCCAATCTACAGACAAGAGGCAGGAGATTCTTCTGCATCTCCCACATAGTTGCATGGGTCCACGCACTTGAGTCATCCTCCAGTACTTTCCCACTCATATTAGCAGGAGCAGGATTTGAGGTGGAGAAGCCAGGACTCAAACTGGCACTTATATGGGATGCTGGCTCTGTGGGCTGGGGCTTTAGCCCACTGTGCACTAGCCTCTCCAAGTGGTTTTCTTAATTATTCCCCAGCTTGCTGTCAGTTTTCATTTTAGATTTATAATAATTTATGAATAAAAATGGAAAAATAAAGATAAATTTTATTCTCCGGGAATATATAAAAACGAGATGAATGATGAATTTGTCATGACTATCAAGCATTGCAGTTATCCAAGATAAGGCACTTTGGTATCATCTTTCTGTTGCCATAGCAAAATATATATTAGTTATATTTTCAAATGAAGCTTCAAGGTTAATATTCTAAATCTAGGGGTCATGATGTCCAATACAATCTTTATTGTTATACAGATGATGTAGTGGGCCATGTTTTAGTGCCACCCTAGAAATAACACATAGCATTCTACAAGGGAAAGAGGTACTTAGGGCTAAAACAGAAATCAGTTGCACTTATTTTTTTAATTGTTAGAATAATGAAGTCCTTAATAGTTTGAGTAGCTGAACTTGATTCTCAGATAGAGTAGGGACTGTGTGGGGAAAATAAGCTACTGAAGGTTTTTTCATATTTTAAGATTTTATTTAACAATTTATTTGTTTATTTGAAAGAGTTACACAGAGAGAGGAGAGGCAGAGAGAGAAAGAGGAGAAATCTTTCATTCGATGGTTCACTCTACAGTTGGCTGCAACGGCTGGACTGAACCAATCTAAAGCCTGGAGCCAGGAGCTTCTCTGGGTCTCCCATGTGGGTTCAAGGACCCAAAGATTTGGGCCATCTTCAACTGCTTTCCCAGGTCATAGCAGAGAGCTAGATGAGAAGTGGAGCAGCTGGGTCTCGAAATGGCACCCATATGGGATGCCAGTGCTTTAGGCCAGGGCATTAACCCACTGTGCCACAGTGCCAGCCCCAAGATTTATTTATTAATTTATTTGAAAGGCAGAGTAATAGAGATAGGGAGATATGGGTAGTGAGAAAGAGATATCTTCCATCTACTGGTTCATTCACCAAAGGGCCACAATAGTTGGCCAGGCCAACCAGGAGCCTGGAACTCTATTTGGGTCTCCCATATTTGTGGAAGTGGCCCAAATACTCAGGCCATCTTTCACTGCTCTTTCAGGCACTTTAGCAGGGAACTCAATTGGAAGTGGAGCACCAAGGACTCAAATTGTCTGTCCACATGGGTTTCCTGAATTGCAGGTGGAGGGTGCAGGCTTTCCTGCTGCACCACAATGCTGGTGCCTACTGCAGGTTCTCAAACAAATCTCTCTGCATTTCCCTCAGTCACAAATGCAGATTATACTGCAGAATTTCTCAAGGTCTGTTCTTGGGTAAATAATTCCATTGATTTTACTTTAATTTGTGATAATGTTATTTCAGTTCTTTAAATGTTTATGAGTAGAATAATTATAGAAAAAGAAAAAGCTACTTTCTATTTTTTCTTGAATCTCTTCCCTTATTAAAGATATTTATGAGATTGATAGAGAAAGAAGTTGATGGAGTGAGAGAAAGCTAGAAACTCCCATGCACTTATTTACTGCCTAAATAATCATATCAAGCAGGAATGGGGCACAATTGAAGCCAAGAGTCAGGAATGGAATCTAGGCCTTCCTCTTGGTTGGCATCAACATTCCTTCCCCTGTTCTGCATTAGCTGAGAGCTGGAAACTGGAGCTGGCACTGAAATCCAACTTTGGAAATTTGACGTAGAGATAGAGTATCTGAGCTAGCATCATAAACACTAAGTTAAATGCTTACTGTCTCTTTAAAAACATTTTTTTCTCTGCCATAATTGCACTGACTGTGTATAGTGTTTTCCTGGAAATTCTTCTCTGTTCAATCCCTTCATAGCTTCCTGATGGTTTCTTGTCTTTTTCCCTGAATACTTCTACATTCTTCTGAACATTGCTCATTCCAGAGTGAATGTTGTCCCCCTTTCAACCTTGTCATGTGCAATGGCCATTGACATAGTCTGGCCTTTTGAGCTGAAACTCCTGTTTCCCTCCAGCTTGGTCATTTTTCACAGCCTTTATACCATAGGTTTGACCCCCTGTTGAATGCTTCTGTGTGGCTGTCCAAATGCTCAACGAATCTGAAATGAAATAACATCCTTCCTTCTTCTTCCATACCCATGTAGAAGATATGCAACTGCCATTGTTTGCTATATGACAGAGTTGACATGTTGACCAAGAGTGTTCTATCACAGGTGATGATAGCATTTGAAGAGCTTGCTGTGTACTTTACCTGGGAGGAATGGCAGAACATGAACCAAGCTCAGAAAATCCTGTACAGGGATGTGATGCTGGAGACCTACAGCAGCCTGTCCTCTGTGGGTGAGTGACGCACATCACATGCCCAATGGTAACGTTTCCTCACTATTTGACAAATAAGTGAGCAGTATTTATAAAGTTTAATGAAGGACGGGTATAGAATTTGAGTCCATGAAGAATCCGACTATCTACCATCTGAAAAGGAATTCAAATTGGAACATTGTAAATATAAGAGTGGGAGTAAGAGAGGGAAGAGATGTGTAATTTGGGACATGCTCAAGCTGACTTGCCTCAAACGGTAGAGTTAGAAACATACCAGGGGATTCCAATTCAATCCCATCAAGGTGGCATGTACCAATGCCATCTCACTAGTTCCGGTGATCATTTTCCGTTCACAATTGATCATGATGATAGGACTAAGAGCCAAAGGGATCCAACATGGGAAGCTTAATACACAGCAGACCCATAGAATTGCAGATGTCCTAAATAGCACTCTGGCCTCAGAATAAGCCCTTAAGGCACTCAGATCTGGCTGAAAAGCCCATGAGAGTATTACAGGCATGGAAAGCCAAAACACCCTGGCAAAAAAAAAAAAAAAAAAACCTACATGAAAGATCTCCGCGAGTGAGATCCCAGTGAAAAGAACAGGTCATCCAAGAAGGAGGTGCCTTTCTCTGAAGGGAGGAGAGAACTTCCACTTTGACTATGACCTTGTCTAAATATGATCAGAGTTGGTGAACTCAGGGGGCTTCCATAGCCTTGGCGACTCATGACGAGGGCCTAGGGTGATTACTGATGCCATAAACAAGAGTGTCAATTTGTTAAGTCAACAACAGGAGTCACTGTGCACTTACTCCTCATGGAGGATCTCTGTCCTTAATGTGCTGTACATTGTGATTTAATGCTATAACTAGTACTCAAACAGTATTTTTCACTTTGTGTTTCTATGTGGGTGCAAACTGTTGAAATCTTTACTTAATATATGCTAAACTGTTCTTCTGTATATAAAGAGAATTGAAAATGAATCTTGATGTGAATGGAAGGAGGGAGGGAGAGGGAAAGGGGAGAGTTGCGGGTGGAAGGGAAGTTATGGGGGGGGAGCCATTGTAATCCATAAGCTGTACTTTGGAAATTTATATTCATTAAATAAAAGTTAAAAAAATATTGGAGCATTGGTTACATAGCTCCTGGAACAAGCTGTTCACCTTCAATTAACCCAAGATAGTGATTTCACAAAGTCTTACATTATTTCCCTTAATAGGACACTGCGTGAACAAACCTGACTTGATCTTCAAGTTGGAGCTAGGAGCAGAGCCCTGGATGGGGGAAGAATGCCTACATCAGAGCCTTCCAGGTCAGTCTGCACATTTCGGGCAGGGAGGCCAAGGTAGAAACAGTGTAGCAGATGTTGAGTGGTGCTCTTTCCATGAGTTTTTCCCAAGCCTTACCACAGACACAGTTATTCTACAGTATCTATGGAGATCAGTATCTCTGGTAAAGGCAAAGGAAATGAAGTTTCATGTGAAAATCAACAACTGATCAAAACCTCCAGAGTCACATATTATCACAGAGGAGTGTTCATAGAAAGAAATGAAAGGAAGAAACCAGGGTTGACAACTTCACAATGAGATAGAAATAATTTTCATGAAATTGAGCAGCTTGTGGTCTGTAGAAACGAATCCTTTAAATTGTTGTGAATGTATACCGAAGGTGGTACATTGGAACTTTCTGCAACTGTTGTAGCTCTCAGAAGCTGAGGATGTCAGGGTTCCTTAGAAATATAGGGAAACTGTAATAGAGTGCAGATAAAACAATTTTTCATTAGAAAAATCCCACAAATACTGTTTCCCTGGGAAGACAGAACATGAGACAACCACAGATGCAAATCTTGTCCCTTAAATGTGATCCTGCTTGGAATACAGATAATTTCACTCTTCTCCACCTGCAAGAAAATGATCCAGTAAAAGTTTCCCATATTGATGTTTGAAATATCAGAGAAGTACAAAACAGACAATTTTATAAAAATGAACTGGAAAGAATAGGACAGGGAAAAATTGATTTCTAGGTAATAGCTGATTATTTTTGCTAAACATATGTCCTTTTTTTAAAATCTTATATAGGTGTTTCATCTTTGTGAAAGGCAGAAAGTCAGTGAGAGGAGAAACAGTGAGCAAGAGATTTCCTATTAGCTACCTCCCCAGATACCTGCAGCAGTTAGGTCTGACTAATTTGAAGCCAAAAGTCTGGCATTCCAACTATTTGAATCTGATGTATCACAGGGTCCCAAGCACAAGAACCATTATCTCCTGCCCCATAGTATACAGTAGTAGAGAGCTGTATTTGAAGCAGAGTCGCCTGGGCTGAAACTGGCACTGTTTTTGGATGCAGACATTCCAAGCAGTGATTTGTATTCATTTTGTTAATTTTATCCCTCTTAAATACAAGTAACTTCATTCCTTTTACATGAGTATGCCAGGAGAAAGAATTATATTTGATTTATTGACAACATTATTTTTTTTCTCACTTCAGTTGTCATGAAAAGGGATGACCTGATTAGGAAAAACCAGAAAAGTTAGAACAAAAATCTGAATCAGGATGTTATCAAAAATAATAAGACATCAACTCCCAACATCATAGAATTAAGAAAAACACTTCATTTGAGTTCAAACCATATTCCAAAACTGAGTATCAAAAAGAGAATCTATTCAAGAATGAAACCTGAAGAATACAATATATGTCACAATGTGCATCCCCACTGTGGGCCTGTTCAACTACAAACTGGAGAAAAATGTGATGCTACTAAGGTACCTGGGAATGCTCTCCAGTTCTGTGAGGCTCTTAATCAACAGTACAAAATTCAGACTGTGCTACAGGCTTTTGAACCAACTGGAAAAGGCAAAGTCTTCAAAAGGAAAAATATATTTTGTCAATCTGAGAGGCATTTTATGGTAGAAAGTAAGAAGTCAACTGCCACTATTGGCAAGACAACTCAAATAGAACATGATTTCCATAAAAATTCTAACCTCAGTATGCATCCACAAAGTCCCAGAAAAGAGAAAGTTTATGAATATACTAGTTCTTTGGAACCTGTCATTGACCAATCACATCTTAAAATAAATCATAGACCACTTATAGGGAAGAAACCCTATGCATGTAAGCCTTGGGGAAATTCATTCAGTTATAAATCCTGCCATACCATCCATCATGGTACTCATGTAGTGGAAAACTCTCATGTGTTTAATGAACATGGAGAAGCCACTTACCAGAAGTCACATCTGATTAAACATCAGAGAATTCACACAGGGGAAAAGCCTTATGAATGTAATGACTGTGGGAAAACCTTTGGGTATAAAACAAACCTCATAAAGCTTCAGAGAATTCACACAGGGGAGAAACCTTATGAATGTACTAACTGTGAAAAAGCTTTTAGCCTTAAGTCACACCTCATAAATCATCAACGAATTCACACGGGAGAGAAACTTTATGATTGTACTAACTGTGAAAAAGCTTTTGGCGTTAAGCCACACCTCATAACTCATCAACGAATTCACATGGGAGAGAAACCTCAGGAATGCAATGACTGTGGAAAAGCATTTCGCCAGAAGTCAAACCTCCTAAGTCATCAGAGAATTCACACAGGGGAGAAACCTTATGAATGTAATGAGTGTGGAAAAGCCTTTGGCTATAAAATAAACCTCATAAGTCATCAGAGACTTCACACAGGGGAGAAACCTTATGAATGTAATGTCTGTGGAAAAACCTTTGGCCAGAAGTCAAACCTCATAAATCATCAGAGAATTCACACAGGGGAGAAACCTTATGAATGCAATGAATGTGGAAAAACCTTTGGCTATAAAACAAACCTCATAAGTCATCAGAGAATTCATACAGGGAATAAACCTTATGAATGCAATGAGTGTGGAAAAGCCTTTGGCCAGAAGGCACACCTCAGAGAGCATCAGAGAATTCACACAGGGGAGAAACCCTATGAATGTAATGACTGTGGAAAAGCCTTTGGCCAGAAGTCAAACCTTATAAGTCATCAGAGAATTCACACAGGGGAGAAACCTTATGAATGCAATGAATGTGGAAAATCCTTTAGGTGGAAGTCAGATCTCATCCTACATCAGAGAATTCACACAGGGAATAAACCTTATGAATGCAATGACTGTGGGAAAACCTTTGTCAAGAAGGCACACCTCATAAACCATCAGAGAATTCACATAGGGGAGAAACCCTATGAATGTAATGACTGTGGAAAAGCCTTTGGCCAGAAGTCAAACCTCATAAGTCATCAGAGAATTCACATAGGGGATAAACCTTCTGAATGCAATGACTGTGGTAAAGACTTTGGCCAAAACTCAAGCCTTGTAAATCATTAGAGAAGCCACACAGGAGAAACCTTATTAATGTAATGACTGTGGACAAGCCTTTTTGTGCAGTTCAGAACTCAATAAACAGAGAAGTCACAGGAGAGAAACCTTATGATGGCAATGACTGTGTAAAAGCCTTTGATCATATGTCAAACATCAGAAAGCATCAGAGAATTCACAAGGGGAGAAATGTCATTAATAATGATGGTAGAAAGCCTTTTGATATAATTCACAACTAAAAACATCTAGAATTCATACAGGGAATTTTGCACACAATTGCCTTTTTGTGCAAGTTTCATTTTATCAAATAACAATTCATCAAGCGAGAACAATAAGATTATAATAAGTGTGGATATGCCTTTGGTGCCAATCATACCTCATCAATCATAACAATTCACACGGGAAAAAATCTTATGAATGGAATGACTCACAAAGCCTTTTACCATAATTTAGCCCTCATTGCACATCATCAAATTTGTACAGGGAAAAAAGCCTTTGAAAGTAATCTTGTGGAAAAGCCTTTACTTAGAAGTCATCCCCTATAAGACATCAGAGAATTCACATGGGGGAGAAATCTTATGAATGTAATGAGTGTTGGAAAGCTTTGCAAAATCTCAGGTACAACATTAGAGAATTCACAAAGTGGAGATCTCATGAATGAAATAAACGTGGGAAAGCTTTTTTTCATAGGTCATACCTCATAATCCATCATGGAATTTGAACAGAAGAGAGACTGAGAATATAATAAGGGGTCAGTGCCGTGGCTCCCTTGGTCAATCCTCTGCCTGTGGTTCTGGCATCCCATATGGGTGCCAGGTTCTAGTCCCGGTTGCTCCTCTTCCAGTCCAGCTCTCTGCTGTGATTCAGGAGGGCAGTGGAGAATGGCCCAAGTGTTTGGGCCCCTGCACCCGCATGGGAGACCAGGAGGAAGCACCTGGCTCCTGGCTTCAGATTGGCATAGTTCCAGCCATAGCAGGCAATGGAAGAAAGACCCTTGTCTCTGTCTCTTTGTAACTCTGTCTAAAAAATAAATAAACAAAATAATGCATGTCAAAGAGTTTTCCCTCAAATAATATAAGTATTTATGACATATCTTATGCTGGAAATCACATCTTATCCAAAGGGACTCATTTCATGGAAAAAGCTTATAAATATTAATAGTGTGAAAAAGTCATTTGTCACAAATCTGTCATACATCAGAGAATTCAGATTTTTTTTTAACCTTTATTTAATAAATAAATTTCCAAAATACAACTTTTTGATTATAGTGGCTTTTCCCCCCATAAGCTCCCTTCCATGTTCAGCCATCCCATCCCCCCCCATCCCATTCACATCAAGGTTCATTTTCAATTATCTTTATATATAGAAGATCAATTTAGTATATACTAAGTAAAGATTTCAACAGTTTGCACCCAAACACAGAAACACAGTATAAAGTACTGTTTGAGTACTAGTTATGCTGTTAATTCACATAGTACAACACATTAAGGATGGAGATCCTACATGGGGAGTAAGTGCACAGTGACTCCTGTTGTTGATTTAACAATTGACGCTCTTATTTATGATGTCAGTAATCACCTGAGGCTCTTGTCATGAGCTACCATGGCTATTGAAGCCTCTTGAGTTTGCCAACTCTGATCTTTTTTAGACATGGCCATAGTCAATGTGTAAGTTCTCTCCTCCCTTCACAGTAAGATACCTCCTTCTTTGATGGCTCATACTTTCTGCTGGGATCTCACTCACAGAGATCTTTCACTTAGGTCACTTTATTTTTGGCACAGTGTATTGGCTTTCCATGCCTGAAATCCTCTCATGGGCTTTTTAGCCAGATCCGAATGCCTTAAGGATTGATTCTGAGGCCAGCGTGCTGTTTAGCAAGACACCTGCCATTCAATGAGTCTCCTGTATATCCTGCTTCCCATGTTGTATGGTTCCCTCCTTTTTAATTCTATCAGTGAGTATTAGCAGACAGTAGTCTTGT